TTTGTGAAAAACAAAAGATATATATCCTAATATATCTTATATACATTTTAAAATATCATATATGGTATCTAGCCAATTAAGACAAACTAATCCATTGGATTAGTATATATATACACATATAGAATATGCAATAGTCATTTGTTGGCTACATATTCGTTACAGTAGTCCCCCCTTATCTGTGTGGGATATATTTGAAGACCCCTGTGAATGCCTGAAACTATAAATACTACCAAACCCTATATGCCCTATGTTTTTTCCAGTACATACATACCTAAGATAAAGCTTAACTTACAAATTAGACATAGCAAGAGATTAATAATAACTAATAATAAAATAGAACAATCATAACATTCTATTTACAATTTCACAGATTGAACATTCATTTTTACCAGAGATTTTAGCAAGATCAGAAAAAGATTTGTGTTCTTTCTTTAATAAATTGAGAATGTTCACCTTTTCTCTTAAAGGAAGACCTTTCCAGAATCTCTTGGCATATCTGCATTACCAGCATCCCTACTCTTGAGCTTTGGGACCATTGTTACATAAAATAAAGGTTACTTGAATGCAAGCATGACAGCTACTCTGATAACCAAGACAGCTACTAAGTGACTAACAAGTAGGGAGTGTCCACAGTGCAGACACACTAGACAAAGGGGTGATTCATGTCCCCAGCAGGCAGAATGAAGCAGGACAGAGCTAGATTTCATTGTGTTACTCAGAATAGCAGGCAATTTAAAATTTAAGAATTGTTTACTTCTTTAAGTTTTCTTTTAATTTTGCAGACTGTAGTTGACCACGGATAACTGAAACCACAGAAAGTGAAACTGAGGATAAGGGCGCACAACTGCATACATATATATGTATATATTATGTGGAATATATATATTCCACATAAGATAAACTAATTCACTACAGTTTTTCCAGAGCATTTATAACTCTACTTTTTTCCAACTGTGATCACTATAAAAGTTTACTTAACATAAAATATATCACCTTACTTCCAAATATTTAATTTTTAAGGCACAGATTTTTTACAATTCTATGCTTTCATCTGTACTGACCTTACATCTGTGCTGTAAATATTCTACTAAACATCATCTTGCAAACTGAATGGGGACCACTTACAGGCTAATGGCGTGTAATATCACCAAGAAAAGAACTTAGCTTTATTTTCTATCATCTAAAACTATACAACCAGCTCTTTTCAGTCAAAGAACAGACCAACCTTGGCAAGTCTTCATTGCTAAACTTAGTTATTAACTTTTGCCACCACTTTGGCTGTCAGTTTGGATCATCTTGGGAGAAATAAATGAGAAAGTAGAAAATGTTCCTCGTCTTGGCAAAGAACAGCAGGGTGGAAGTGAGAGAAGACAATGAAACCCCTGCTGCTGATTTCTTCCTCTGCTTATTTTTGTTCTTGAGCTGCTTGTAGAAAAGACACTAATGAGACTCTCTTCTGATGATTGGAAACGTTGTGAAATGATTTTTCAGAAAAACTCTGGATCCTGACCCTTGCTAAAAGCTCATCTTACAGATTACTCTACAGTTCTCCACCTACGAGGCTTCAGAGGACTTCTTAGCTCACACAGTGAAGCAGAATAATTCTCATTACTTCTGCTTCCATAGATAATCTTTTTTTCCCTTTTAAGGCGGATTAAAATTTTCCATTTTTTCCCAAAAGATTTCAAATTAGCTTTTATTTAGTGGTTCTCAACAATGGCATTTTTGGTCTGTGGTCATGATGAATGAAAAAAACAGTATAGTAGCAGTTAGTTTCTTTTGAAGATATTTTAGTATTTCCTTTTTTCCCCTGATGATAAGTAACAAAACGGTTCAAACAAGAGAAATTGTAAGAAGCAAATGATAAGGCAATTGGAACAGTAGGAATGGGACTCCATTTCAAATGTGTTGGGAAGGGGGAGATTCTGTGGCACAGGTATCAGTGTGCCAACATTTACACACGAAAAGCAAAATTTCTCTTGTGTATATAGTGTACAACTCTACAGTGATACATGCAAAAAAAAAATGTATGACATCTCTTTTGTAATTTGTTCCTCCTAAATGAGTCATACTTGCACTTTGTCTGATTCCCAGAGACCTCACACATCCTCACGTTCCAATTTCAACCAGGCACTATACTTAGAATCATAGGTAACATTCAAAATATGGAAATCTGACAGTTTTTGTGAACGCAGGAAACGGCTGAGGGTTTCACGAGCACGTCTGGGAATGATTGGATGTGAGGTAAGTCACCACGGATAAAGGCAAGAGAAAGGAAATTAATTAAAAGCAGGGGGGTAGAGAAGATAAATCAATGCAAGAATAGATCTGAGAGAGAGAGAGCATTACAGATTCAAGCTCCGATTCATAAACAAAGACATCTCAAAGCCTAGGTTGAGGAAGAGGGACAAAGGAGAGACACCCATACTCGTGTGGCTGTAATCACAGTGGCTATGTACAGGGTAGAGTGGTCACTGGAAGACGATAGACGGGAACACACAATCCCCTTTCCACCCCTTCAGCTTGCTCTGTGCTAGGTGATACACAATTTTATTTCCTTCAACTACCAACAAAAAGACTAATAATCTTAGCAAACTCATTTTAAAATTCAGATGTCCTTTTACTGATAAATCCATTCTAAAACTGGATTAAAAATTGTACTCAGGGATATTTTATTTATTGAAATGTATTTTCAGTTGCTAAACCTATGACCAAGGATGACTTCTGTCTCACAGAAGGAGACCCAGAGGCTCTGAATGTCCAACAAAACATGGTACAAAATTCTTAGTAGAATAAAGATTTTAAAATCTTTCTGTGACAATCTGTTAACTTCTTGGGCAAACTGCTGCTTTCAATTTAGGGGTCAGGTCATTAAAAGTCTATCAGTGCCCTTCCACAGGCAGGCTGCACTTTCTGGGGTGGTTTTATTTCAAGGAAGATGCTGCTATCCCAAGGAGTGTTCGAGCATCTGAACTATCTCATGTTAATATTCCACAACTTTCCATCAAAGAAAGGCAACCAGAAATCACTATTTTCTCTCTTCCCTGATAAATTTAGATTTACAGCACTATCTTAATATTAAAATCTTTACCACACTATGTGCATAGTGCTGCTGCCAAAAAATTCATCATAAACGTAGCTGCTTAAACAGCACACATTTATTTTATGATTCTGTAGGTCAGAAGTCCTCCAAGGGTTTCACTAAGATCAAAATGTTGGCAGAATGAGTTCCTTTCTGGAAGGGCTGAAGGAGCTCATTTGGGTGCTGGCAGATTTCAAGTCCTTTGGGTTGTAGTACTGAGTCTCCATTTTCTTGCTGAATGTCAGCTGCCAACCACCCCTACATCAAGAAATGAGCCACATTACTTGGCTTGTGGCCTCACTTCCTCCATCTTCAAAGCTAACAGGCAATTCTGTCTCAGATTTCTAATCTAGTCTTCATCTTCTCCTATTACATCTTTCTGACGCATTTTTCTGGCTTCTTTTCTACTTTTAAGTGCTCATGTGATTATATTGGTCCCACCTAGATATTCCAGGATCATCTCCCCATTATTAGATCCTTGATCTCAATCACTTCTGCAAAGTCACTTTTGCTAGACTGAATAACATAACATATCCAAGGATTCTGGGGTTTGGGACCTAAGCATCTTTGGAGGAGCCATTTTTCTGCCTACTATACCATTAAACTATTTTATGCTGCAAAGAGTTTCACCTTATACCTGTACCATGAAAATAAAAGTAAAATTGAAAATAAAAATGTCTCTGTTTACCTGTTTAAATATGTTTAATAGTTGAAAGTTTTGGCCATTTGCTAAAAATTTCAAAATGTTTTGTCTCTCAAATTACAAAAACCAACCTACCTATTGACATTAGAAAAGATAGAAGTTTACCAGGTAAACTTCAGCAAAAACTTGGTATATTTGGCAAAAGACATTTAAATCCTAATATTATGATTTATTAAGTACAACAGTGAAATTCTGCATTTGCATCAGCTAAGTAAGTACTCAAACTGAACTTAAACCAGCTGTCAAAATGAAGTGAGGCATATTGCCAAGTAGGTTTATGAAACATAAAACAAAATTTTAAAAAGTAATAAAAATTGTCCACTACTATCATTAAATGTGTATAAAAAAGAGGTTTGAAATAAAAGATTTTTAAATATTTATTTCATCCTTATCTTATCCCTTAAAAATGTGTTGTGTTTTTAAATGGACATTGTAAATATAGCATTAACAAATGAATATATTATAACAAAAATCTGTAAATAAATAAATACGCATATATAAATATAAGAATACCTATACAGACTGCATGTCCTAAATTTTTACTTATTGTTGTAGGCCAGCAAAAATATTGAAAATTGCTATACTAAGAAGTTCATGTTAAATATACTTGGTTTGCTGCATTCCAAATTAAACTGTTTAAAAAAAATACTTATCAATTAACCTGATATCATTACTTTTTCAAGAGCTTTATAACAGCTAAATTAAATCCAGATTTTTCATGATTTCAATCAGCCACTCAAAAAGTATTATAAAAGAATAGTTACTAAGGAGCCTAGAATCTTCTTATTTTGGAAACATTAAGCAAATCTTTTTAAAACACCACCTTTTCTAAATCTGTAACTTGATTTTAAGCGTTGAACTTTAAAAGTCATAGGAACATTTAAAATATCATTTATACTCTCTCCAATAGATAGGGGGTTTTATTTGCTTATAAGACATAGCCCCTCATTTCTGAAACATAAAAATAAAAACTTTAAAATACATTAGTAACAACTATAAACTTCTGGTTGTCTTGATTTCTTTATGGCTCTTGTATAACACATTTTTTTTCTTGTGACAATATGTCATAAGCCAAGTTGTACAATTTTCAGGATTATTTTCCCCTCCCAAGTCATGCTATTTATTTCTTTTGGGTTTTATTTGTTAATGTATTTGTGTCCAGTAGATGCACACTTTATGTTCCCTTTAAAAATAGAATAAATTCATTCTACTTACCAAACTATTCCCTGAGCCCCAGAGCCAATAGGCTTTAGATTCTGGTAGCGCTTGAGAACTGTGAAGGTTGAATCTCCCACTTCCACACTGTAGAACTGGTTGTCCACTTTGCTTTTGCTCATGTTGTAATGTTTGGCAATATATGACACATCCACTTGTTTATCGAATCCCTGTCCAAAAGGAGAGCAAAAAACACGAACAAGTGAATAAGCAGAATGATAATGAGATGCAGAGAAGCCTATTCTTATAATGATTACTAGTGCTTAGCCATCTATCATCTAGTTCATGAGGTTTACATAGGAAAAAAGTATCAATCCATGCAAGATTACCTGAAGTAAAAGAGCTTAGAAAAACAATGCAAAGGAATCGTTTTCAATATCAAAACTATTTCAAATAGATTAATCTTGGATTTGATTCATGTAATCTTTTCTGAAGTGTCCCATTAAAACCATTCATTTGCAGAACATCTGCTAAACACGTCTTGTCTCAAGACTAGGAATTTCAGAATTTAAAGCAGACGAGGGGATTGTGGCTCATCCATTACAAATACTGCATCTATTGCCCTTTCTTAGAAAAAAACTGACATATAAACTAACATGACATTTTAACTATTTTAATTAAGTAAATTTGAATTAAATAGTATAGACTTCTTTTATTGTCATTAATACCAAAAATGTCTTTTTCCTTCATTAAGCATAGAGAAAATTTAGTTCAAATTAAGATTATTCTAAAATGCCACATGCCACTTTACTGTTTGAAGACTTAGATTTTAAATATTTCAATTGTTGCATTTTTGTTTATCTTTAAGATTTGAAAAAATTTTAAAAAGTGGAATTTTAAAAAGTGGAAGGTTCCTAACACAAAGAAATGATAAATGCTTGAGGCCATTTGGATAATTAGGTAATTACCCTAATTAGATTATTATATATATAGGGTCTATATCAAAGTTTGTCCGTAAAATTTTGAATGATTTTATATACACTACACTTAGAATGTAAACATCAATTATCCATATTTATTATTCATACATAAATGATATTATATTATACTTTAAGACAAATATTTCAAATATTTTGGATTCTATAGCTAGAAGGGACCTCAGAGAATCATCACCCTGCCCATTCTTTGGGGCTCACAGGGCGCTATCTACCCAGCAGTGATCACCTCTTCCTGCACATACTGTTCAGATTTTGAACACCCGCATTTTCTGTGGTTCCTCCCCAATCTCAGAAATTGGAAATTAATTAACCTAAACCAGTGGTTCTCCTTAGATATAGGATTAATCCATTGGTGGCTTTAGGGAGATTTGTGGGCACATTTGGAAATGCCATGATGATGAAAGATGTGGCTTCTACACATATTTATCTGGCATATCAAAGAATGCTGGTGTCCGGAAATGAGGGAGACAGTCCTACCCAAGTAGTAGCTCCCTACACACAACTCATGAATGTTCTGCCAAAGCTCTAATTGGCAAAAAACCTGCCCATAATACTTTGAGCTCAGAATCTAAACCAAAAATTTTATGTATGATTTTGACATATAGTAACTCTTCTGAAAATCTAATTCTCATATAATTTGAAGATTTAAACCATATCAGGCTCTGAACCCCTCAGTTGGTCATATAGCTATTTTACTTGTAAAATTTCATCTCTAAATAAAAAATGGAAATAAAGGTCCCATCTAATTTTCTCCTATATTCTCTTGGAAGGAAGCCCAGGCAGCACGAATAATGTAAGGAAGGTGAATACAGAGGGGACCACATGAATGTGGGTGGTGAAACCTGTGAATTCAGTGCAAGAATCTTGAGATTCTAGACAGTGGAGACAGACGTGAGAGTAGAATCCATGTGACAGGCACCAGCTTATGATTGGAACATAGATGGTGGCAGCATTCGATACAAATGCACACAAACTTCAGACAATAAAAAGGACTGTAGGAAGTTCTGTTGTTTGGTCAGAAAACCAAAACTTGGATAATTTTCAAATGCAGTCACAAAACATCAAAATTTTGAAGGCAGTCTGTGGAGCATGGAATAAGAAATTAAACAGGGCTATTAAAAATCTGGGCATTGCGGGCCTATTCAAGGAGACAACAACAGGGTTTAGAATTTGGACAGCAGAAACAAGAACGCTGGTATTTAAACAATCCTTGATTGCAATTACAGTCCTGGGGACCGCTCTCCACACCATGGTCCATTTCAATTCTAGACATTTCTGCATATGAGTACAACAGCCTGATTAAAGCCTGCTTTTTTCCTGGCTGAGAAAGGTAAAAAAAGCAACTGGAGCTAGATTTTCAAATGAATTCATTGGCCAAGGACTGACTCGGGCTGAATGAAGGGCCCAACTTGCCATTTGTCAAGCTCTGACTTTTCTTTACATTTTTCGTATGTTGGTTTCTGACCACCACAAAATCCTTATCACATGCTCACCTCATGAAACCTAGGCGACCCATTTCCCTTTCTCCCGCTTACCACCTTCCCTTTTGAAGCGTGGCTTTCCCAACTCTATTACCTACATGTACTAATCATTTGCAGTGACCTTCATGTTCCACACGCCTAACTTAACGCTGTGTTTCGGCACCACCCTATTCCTCTGGACGTGGCTGTGGCATTTCTAGCTATGTCTTAGTGTTCATATTACACTTGAAGCCAACTGTTGGCCCTCTTCTTCCAACATTTCAGTATACATCGAGAGAAACCAAAGAAGTTTAACAACTCATGCCACTTCTATTTTTAAGGCTTATTCTAGGGGACTCTATTTAACATTGACAAAAGTTTAACCCAATAAACAAATATACACATTGTATGCCAGGTACTAGGTCTGGCACTGAAGATAACAGCTAAGAAGAGGGAATCTCAGTCCAGATTAGAGACAACCGAGCAAGCAAGAAGTCAAACTATCAGTGTATATTCCACAGCAGAGTAAAGAGAAGGCACTGGAAAAAAGTGTCAACCTAAATGACACAGAGGGTGGCTCTCTGAAAGAAAATGGTATCTATTCAGTCATGGGTAATGACAATGGGAATATGTGTGCAATAGCAAATTATGAGTGCATACAAGGATACCAGGAAGACAAAGGTTTTTAAGGAAAAGATGAGGAGTATTACATAATTGTTTTGAGATAATTATCTTTGACTACAAAGATCAGTAACAAGAGTGATGCTAGTCCCAGGTTAGATAGGCAATTGCTGGGCTGATGTTATCACAGAAGTAGTTTTTGTGCAAGGTTGTGATGGCCTTTGTGCAGTTTTTGCACAATTTTGCAGTTTTTGCAGAATTTCATGATAGTTTTGTTATCAGGCATATCAGAACCCTTCTTATTCTGGCCTTTCTCTGTTTTTCTCCACTCTATTTGTCAATTTTCTTTTCTTTTCTTTTCTTATTGACACAAGTGACTTCATTTTGATTCTGGCAATGTCCACAGCAGCAACTAACTGCCTGCATTCATTCACCTACTACATATAAAGGAACTGCTAGATGCCAAGTTATAGGTAATAACTATAACTATAACTGTAACTAGATGTCAAGTTACAGTGGGTAATATTTGAGGAGAGACTAGATCAGAGTTTTCTCTAATGATATCCCTGGACCTGCCTTGTCACTGGTTTTCGAATGTGAATGTGCCACTCAACCCTCTGTAATGCAGAGGGGAACTGTGAGAGGGGAACTTGACAAATAAGGACAACACCCTGGAGATTCTGATTCCAGCATCAGCACAGGTCCTGAGGACCTGCAGATTACTAGACAGTCCAGCTGGTTCTGATTTGAGGATCTGAGCATCAGACTTTGAAGGAGATAGAGCATCATTCTCCAAGTGTGCTGCATGGAGCATCAGTGTCAGTATCCCCTGGATACTGGTAGAAAATGCAGAAATACAAACACTCCACAGTCAGAGACTCTGGGGGTGGGGCCCAGTAATCTGGGTTTTAATAAGTCCTTTCAGTTACTCAGAGGCATGTTGAGGGCCACGTATCAGGAGGGATGGCCTGAAGACTGAAACAGAGGAAAACGCAGCTGCAACTCTGCCTGAGTATTTAGAGACTAGGACACTTTCTATGCAGCAGAAATAATATGTCTATATCTGCAGCAAGAAACATAACTTTGTCATTCTATGAACTGCCAAATTCCATTGCTCATGGCACATATGAAATAAAGTACAGAGTCCATATTAGGCCAAGACTGCCCTATACTACATATTAGGCCAGGATTACCCTGTACTACATATTCAATTATTTTACAGAGCCCACTGCCTCAGTCTCAAGGATGGACAAAGTCTCTGTTTCCCTAGGCTGGCAGGTAGCCAAGTACCATGAGGAAGTAAATCATTATTTTATCTCAGCAATTGTTCACATTCCTGAGAAGTTCCCAGGGATTTTCTAGTGCACACCTAGGACGGAAGTTCTTTTATATAATGGGGATATACAAACTTGATGATAATTTGGCACAGTGATTTGATAACACTTTGATATAATGATTAAAACAATCACAGAGTTTATCCACCAATTTTAGCAAATAAGAGAATTCCCAGGCAAAAAGAAACAACAATACACACTATCCAAATAAAATACCCAATGCCCTGTCACATTTCCTAAAATATAAGTTATTCAGTGATCTTTCCTCTCAATCTGAGGGCATATAATTTCTCACAATAAGATTGAAAATTTTCATTATAAGATCCATGAATTCATATATATCCAACTTTCTTTTGAATATCTTCTTTATACCTAGTTTTGAATTAAGCTTTAAGGTATAATCTAGAAGTTGGAGAATATATGCTTAGATATATCTTAAATAATTGGTAGAATTCTATTTTGATTATTGGCTAAGCAGGGAGACATGAAGATAATAGCATTGGAAATTTCCTTGGATTGATGTCATAACCAGAAATTTGATGGCAAATGTGTTGTGTTGAAGAGCTTCCCCCAGATCCCATCTGTGCCCCAAGCTTACAAATCTAAATTGAGTTTTGAAAAGTTCAGGACATATTTAATATAGTATATTTTATACTTTACTTTCCATAAAGTCATCCATGTCATGACTATAAAGTTCAAATATAAAATTTCTCTATAAAATGTACCTGTGAAAATAGGCAATTAAGTGTACTATGGAAAAATACCATCAATGCTGAAAGTTCTAGTATTTTCTGTAGTTCTAGTTTTAGTACTTCCT